GAAGCATTGGCTCCAGAGGTTGCTACCCCTGGGGGGGCCACTGGGGTAGGCAGGGGACCCTTCCTCCCTTTGCCCCCCCCCCCCCCTTTATTTTCACTTTTTAATTTAGGATTTAGAAAAACTGTAGAAATATTTTCTGCGTGAGATAAATTTAGATCTTCTGATCGCTATAACAGGGTAAAGATGTGAGGCAGCTTAAAGGAATCCTTTACTGAGGCAGTATAGTGGCTGCCATTGGTGACATTTTATTTGACAATACTAGTTCTTTAACATGGTAACTTAAAGAACAATTGTACTTTTCGTATAATTGAACCAGTGACCTCTAGTGCTACAAGGCAGAAGTGCTAACCACTACGCCACTGTGCTGCCCAAAATACCTGACACTTTTTACCTCGCTCCATAAAACAAGCTGGGGCTTTTCTTTATAACTGTATTTAGAAGGTAAACAAACACACAGGAAGCTGATTACATCTTTTGAATAGGGTGTGCTCCCAATGTTCTGGGCAGTGTGCTTGAGTGCAAAACCATCGCTCATAAAATTTGTATCCATGCAAATTAGAACCATTCTCACATTTCACCTCACCTTAGTGAATAGTGAACAATAAAAATCCACAGCTGTCATTTAAGGAGGACACCTACAGTATCTCACAGAAATGAGTACACCCCTCACATTTTTGTAAATATTTTATGATATAATTTCATGTGACAACACTGAAGAAATCACACTTTACTACAATGTCAGTGTACATTTGCTGTCCCCTAAAAATAACTCAACACAGCCATTAATGTCTAAACCGCTGGCAACAAAAGTGAGTATACCCCTAAGAGAAAATGTCCAAATTGAGCCCAATTAGCCATTTTCCCTCCCTGGTGTCATGTGACTCATTAGCGTTACAAGGTCTCAGGTGTGAATGGGGAGCAGGTGTGTTAAATTTGGTGTTATCGCTCTCACTCTCTCATACTGGTCATTGTAAGTTCAACATGGCACCTCATGGCAAAGAACTCTCTGAGGATCTGAAAAAAAGAATTGTTGAAAAAAAGAATTGTTATGTAGATAAAGATGGCCTAGGCTATGAGAAGATTGCCAAGACCTTGAAACTGAGCTGCAGCACGGTGGCCAGGACAATACAGCAGTTTAACAGGACATGTTCCACTCAGAACAGGCCTCGCCATGGTCGACCAAAGAAGTTGAATGCAGGTGCTCAGCGTCGTATCCAGAGGTTGTCTTTGGGAAATAGACATATGAGTGCTGCCAGCATTGCTGTAGAGGTTGAATGGGTGGGGGGTCAGCCTGTCAGTGCTCAGACCATACGCCGCACACTGCATCAAATTGGTCTGCATGGCTGTTGTCCCAGAAGGAAGCCTCTTCTAAAGATGATGCACAAGAAAGCCCGCAAACAGTTTGCTGAAGACAAGCAGAATAAGGACATGGATTACTGGAACCATGTAATGTGGTCTGATGAGACCAAGATAAACCTATTTGGTTCAGATGGTGTCAAGTGTATGTGGCGGCAACCAGGTGAGGAGTACAAAGACAAGTGTGTCTTGCCTACAGTCAAGCATAGTGGTGGGAGTGTCATGGTCTGCGACTGCATGAGTGCTGCCCGCACTGGGGAGCTACAGTTCATTGAGGAAACCATGAATGCCAACATGTACTGTGACATACTGAAGCAGAGCAGGATCCCCTCCCTTCGGAGACTGGGCCTCAGGGCAGTATTCCAACATGATAACAACCCCAAACACACCTCCAAGACGACCACTGCCTTGCTAAAGAAGCTGAGGTTAAAGGTGATGGACTGGCCAAGCATGTCTCCAGACCTAAACCCTATTGAGCACTAATTGAGAATTAAAGGATTTATGTTTAAAAATGTCATGTTAAAAACATTTCTTGTTGCCCACTAATCTGCTTGCAATGGCTATTTTTGCAATTTCGGATTGAAAATGAAAAAAGTGTTGCAATCAGGCAAAAAGGGGTACCTACTACACCTGGGGAATCTTCTTTTTTTTTTAAATACAACATTACTTTGACTATCACTTAGGCTAGCCATAAATGTGAGATGATGGTTTTTTGACTGTTGTACTAAGCTGTTGACTCAGTAAAACATGGATGCATGTCTACCAGCCTTATCACAGGGAAGTAATAGCAATCACAATCCAAACTGAGTAGAACACAATGATTTTACCATATAGCAGTATATCTTTTTGCTGTATTCATTAATTAAGAGGGATATTTTGTCTATTTATATCACTTAAAATGTAATGTGCTTTGTCAAATCTAGGTTGAAAAGATCATAGAGAACCGAGAGTTGGTTACAGTCTATTCCAACGCAGATGGGACAGAGGATTTTGAGACTGTTATCTTGAAAGCTTTAGTTAAAGGTAATCACATATACATTTCTAAGTATTTGTACTAGAGGTGCACCGAAATGCAAATTTCAAAACCGAAACGAAACCAAAATTTAAAAAAATGTCAGGCTGAAACCGAAAATGTTTTTATTTTTTTTAAATTATTTTATTTTAACTTTTTTTTTTAAATAATTTTTAACTTTTTTTAATAAACTTTTTAATTTTGTTATATTTATTTTAATTTATTTTTTATTAAATATTTTCATTTTTTTTACTTTACTTTTGGGAGCTACGGGGAAATATTAGGGGTCTAAACAGACCCCTGATATTTCCCTTTTAAAATAGAAAAAGAGATTGGGGACACAGAGTCCTGAATCTTTTTTTCTGCAGCCCCTGTTATAACTGAACAGGAATCCTGAGTGTTCCTGTTCATTCATAGCAGAGTATGTTTACTATAACCACAATTATGGATGAACGGGAGGTGATGTAGATCACTTCCCATTCATTCATAATTGAGGATATAGTAACCACACTATGTCCTCATCTATGTACAAAGATACAGGTCTATTCACAAAAGGGTGAAGAGTTTGGAGAATGCAGGAGAAGTGAACAATCTAGGCCAAAATAACTAATTTGGAAAAATTCTCCAATTCAGCTCACTTTCCAATTCAGCTATGTTGTCCTAGATGGTTCACTTCTCCTCCCTTCTCCACACTCTTCACCCTTTTGTGAATAGCCCTGATAGTGTTTGCATTGGCTCTCCTTCCTGACATGCTGTCACAGGAGGCTGAGCGAGCGCTGCAGTGAGGAGAGCTCAGCCTCCTGTGAGAGCACGCGCTGTCTCTGCCCACACACCGCTCTGCCAATCTGTGACAGGAGGCTGAGCGGTGTGGGAGGAGAGGCGCCGGCCTCTCACAGCGCTCTCCTCCTGCAGCGCTCGGCTGGCCTTCACAGTTTCTCTCCTCCCCGCTGGGACACAGAGCAGCGCCCAGCGGGAAGAAGGGATTACACGGATGCAATGCTGTATCGGCCAGAAAATTGCACTTTCGGCATTATGCCAAAAGTGCCATTTTCGGACGATATGTTTCTGCGGCCGATATATCAGTGCATCCCTAATTTGTACTGAATTCCATTTTGTGATCCCTGTAAAATACTATATTGTAGAATAGCAGGCTGTCTTTGCTGGCTTTGGCCTTTAGTGACAAAGTATTTCTATTAATTTTTACAATGCTGCACAGCTTGCAAGAAGCAGTCCAGTGATGCCACAGAATATCTGGATGAACTGAAGTTAGCGGTGGCCTGGAACAGGGAGGACATTGCCAAAACAGAACTCTTTCATGGGGAAATTCAATGGCGGGTAAGACAACAGTATAAATAATTGTCATTGCTTTAGTCTTGGCTACTAGCATGGATGTAAAAGCAAGTTTTTAAGCTTTTTTAAATGCTGATCACTTACAATGTTGCTTCTTAATGTTTAGAAGTTTTAGCTTCTTACAGAATCATCTGGTCTCCTGAGCACGAGCACTAATCTCCTGTTTTAGGGTGGCTCCTTTCTCTTACAGGGTCCTATGGAGCCCCCCTTGTGTGTGCTAGTAATCTATTTGTGTCTCCACAAACGCACAGACACAGATAGTCAAGTCACTCCCCTGCTCCCCTCTCCTCCCTTTCTGCCTTCTCCTCTTTTCTCCCTCCTCCAAGCTAGTAGATGGACAGTTGCTTGTGATCTTGTATTGGACAGGAAGTAGTTGGAGGCAGCTGTTTCGAAATATGATGATGACTGCAAGTGCTTGGGGAAAATGTAAAGAAATACTTTGTGGGGCAATGTGTATTTGTTTGATCTGGATTTATTATTGAAAAAAAAGTTTTGGAGTTTAGTACTACTTTTATTACTGAGCTTAGTGAATAAGATGAAGTTGTGTTATCTTCAATCATGCATTCGTGCAAAATCCTATTTTTTATCTTTCCTTTCATATACAGTAACTGGGTATTAAAATGAACGCTGTTTTAACTTATGGACATTCACTCGACATCTTTTAGTAAATTAACCCCATACTTTACTGTGACTGGGTAGTTCCATACATTTTAGCCTTTTTTGGCACAGGGAATTTTAATCATTAGGGATGCAGTGATACTGATATCGGTATCGGTGCTGATTCTGGGCATTAACATGAGTACTCGTGAAAATGCACCCATACTAAGCACCGATACTGGCAATTTAAATATTTAAACAGAAGCAGCTGCCCGAGGTCCCTAGCAAGGCTTCTTCCTGGATAACCATGCCACCTCACACCTGCCCCCAGGACCATCCAGACCCTGGTGAGTACAGCCCACCATAGACCCCACACAGCCTCCTAAGACTCCACATTTTTATAATAAACGTTTATGCATACCACACCATGAGGAGGTTTCTTTTATAATTATATAAACCCATAACGGACCGAACATTGCCGAAAGAGACATCTGGGATGTGGACCCTCTGATCTGATATCTCTGCATTATTACCTCAGCAGTGGGGTGAGTGCGCACCCGAAAGGGGGCAATTCGGAGACACATGTAACACGTTGGTGTGGGAAGAATGTATTTATTGAGTTATCATTTTTGAAATATTTGTTTGAAGTCTTCATCGGATTCACTCGGAATTACATCACTGATTTTTCACCTATTGGGACTGTTTTAAAGTTCAGATATTTTACAGTTCATATACTTTACTGGCAAATAGCCATTCACAATTTTTGATATTATTTAGGAATTGTTATTTTTCACTACCAGGATGACACAAGAGTGAAATAATTTTTTACACTGTGGTTATTTAATAGTTATTTTATCACCACTACTAGATTAAGGTTGTGCACTATATACACTGAGTATTATAAATTATATTTATATTGTGATAATTATATAATATATTTTAGATTGGGATATTTATATATTTACATATTCACTTTATTATCACCTTTAGCGCTGCACAATTTACACTTCATCTTAGACTCCACACAGCCTCCTGAGACCCTGCACAACCTCCTGAGACCCCACACAGCCTTCTAAGACCCCACACAGACTCCTGAGACCCCCACACAGCCTCTTGAGACCCCAAACAGCCTCTTGAGACCCCGAACAGCCTCTTGAGGCCCCGAACAGCCACCTGAAACCCCACACAGCCCTCCTGAGACCCCACACAGCCCCCCTGAGACCCCACACAGCCCTCCTGAGAGCCTCTGCTAGAGAGATCAGGCTGGCACCCTGGTACAGAGTATGTAGCTTCATATTATTCTGCATTGATGTATAATGCTCTGCTGGGTTTTGTAATCCTCGATAGCCAGTTGCCATTCGGCATTGCTGTATAATGTATTGCTGGGATTTGTAGTCCTCTCTAGCTGATGGTATTATTCTGCATTGCTGTATAATGTAACGCTGGGAATTGTAATTCACTATAGTTGGTGGTTTTCGGCATTGGTGTATTACGTATTGCTGTGATTTGTAGTCCCTCTACACCTTGGAGTCAGTGGCAGGGCTACCAGGGGTGCAGTGTTTGCAGCCGGGACCAGACCTGGCACTGCACCACTATCCTAAAATCATTAGTCTGTATTGTTTTAGAAAAACTGTCACATGACACTAAAAAAAAGGTCTCGGTAATTGGTATCCGCGAGTACTTGATGAAAAGTATCAGTGCTCGTACTCAGTCAGGTAAAAATGGTATCGGTGCATCCCTACTAATCATGCATTTTTCCTGTTTACATACAAAGACACGTGATTTTTTCCCAAAGACAATGTTTTTCCAACATCCATGCTTTCGTACATGCTATGGCACAAATATACACCTTTTCCTATTAGCTGCCTTTTTTTCTCAGTTTTATCTGGTTAGCTGCTCAAAGCCTGGGAAATATTTTAGTTATGCTTTAGATGAATCACACAATGTCTGCTGTTACCTTTGTTAACCAGAAAAGCCTCTTCTGAGATTTTCTCTGATCCCAATTTCACTTTATTACTGAAGACATGACATTGACAAATTCAGGGCTAAGACCACCCACTAAAGCTAAGCCCTCATCCTTCTTTGTTAACACCATCCCTATATAATTAATGTAAATTGTAAATAATGTAAATGACTGCTAAGGTGCTCTCTCTTGGCAGCTTCCCATTTAGAGCTATAGAGTGCTTCCAGGATGCCGCAGTGGTAACAGATCAGAGGGTGCAATATTTGATTTTTAAATAAGCTTGGAGTAGTGACTACTGTACAATACACACAGGGACCATGGGGAACAAAAGTAGCCCGTCTCCAGAAGGAAGGACAGTGTCAGCACCAATTCAGAGATGATTTGAGGATCTACAGCTGAGTGATACACAAATAAGCTACATTTTTGTTAATAGTTAAAAGAGAACTATGGGGTAACCTTTTTATCCCATAGTTCTCTTAAGGCTCACGGGGGGACATATTCTAACGTCCTTCCGTGACCCAATCCTCCGTATATAGCGAGCTATATACTGAGATCACCGCAGCCAGGACAGATTCCGACAATACTGTTGAGATCCACCCAGCTGGCTGTTTGACACATCCATTGCCTATCAGGAGGCAGAGCCAGCTGTGCCCACCCCCGCCCCCGTCTGTTCCTCCAGTCAGGGCCTTATCATACTTTTTAATATGTTTCTTTGTGGCTTAACAAAATAAGAGTCTTTAATTGGTGCGGATATTGGGAAAAATGGGTGTGGTTACGGGGGTGTGGCCACTTAAGGGTGTGGTCACTGAGGGGCGCTGTAAAGCTTTCTCACACAGGGCGCCTAAAGGCCTAAGGCTAGCCCTGCCTCCAGTCAGCAATGGAAGATTAGAGAGGAGAAGGGTCGAATCCCTGCGGGGAGAGCTGACTGACAGTCACTGCTCTCTGCAGGGAGATGATCGGGAAGTGAGTGAGCGACGGTATGTGTTCGCTCACTTCACAATCTATAGAGCCAACATGGGACAGTTTCATTGTCACACGTCGGCTTTAACTATGAAGATGAGTGAAAAACACTCGCCTCATAGTTCTCCTTTAAGGTACTTGAATGTATTTTTAAGATTTAACTCCTGAGTTTAGTGTCACTTTAACAAACCCTTAGCCTTTTCAGCAGAGGCTCCTTTTCAGCAGAGGCTCTTAGACTACTCAGGCTCTTAGACTACTGAGTAGTCAAAGTGCCTGTTCTTACATTGAGGGCCCACCTAGATGGGCATTGTTGATTGCTGCCTTTTGCTTTGAATTCAACAACAAAAAAAGTGTTTGAAAGCAGAATTTAAAAATACATAAAAATATTGAATACTCATATACAATTAATGTATCATAACCCCAAACAGCATGAATTCCACAGGTAAAACCCCAATATTCTCATTAAACAAACAGTATATTTTGTGAATGAATCAGACACTTTGGCTGAGTTGCACAATGTTATTATATACTGTTTGTTTATTGAGAATATTGGGGTTTTACCTGTGGAATTCATGCTGGGGTTATGATATATGCACTTTAATTTTATATGAGTATTCAATTTTTATGTACCGTATTTTTCGCTCCATAAGACGCACTTTTTTCCCCCCAAAAGGCGGGCAAAAATGTCTGTGCGTCTTATGGAGCGAATGTGTGAGAGCTGAGGTATCCCTATCCAGGGGCGTAGATAAGGGGGGGTCCTGGCAGTGGTGTTGTGAGAGGGGGCAGAAGGGGGGAATGTGCTCCCGAGCGCCCGTCTGAAGGATATCCACAGACAGGCAGTGGGAAATGCAACAAAAGGTTATGTTGGACCTGCATTGCCCACAATGCAATTGCATTTGAAAAGGTCCTGCTGCATCCAAAGAAATGCCATAGAAAAATTGGTCGGCCACATCCACTCCTGCTCTCTCATTGGACAGACAGACAGGAGCGGGGGCAGGCACTGCTGACTCTGGCTCTAAAGAGGCAGAGCCAACTGTCAATCAGGCAGCTGGGTGGATCCAGGCAATATTGTGGAGTTCCTTCCTGGCCCGGCTGCAGTGCGACTCTGAGCTCTTAGCATATAGAGGGCAGAAGCCCACTATATGCTGACTTTAAGTCACATTAATAATTGAACTCCTGTGCCCAAAAAGAGAATAAAGCCAAAAAAGGTTTGAATGTTTATGCCATGGTTGTTGCACAGTAAGGGTTTTCATAGGTGGGCTTCATTCTCCTCCACACTGTGTGCCGGGGAAAGTGGATTACCATCCACCATGAAAGTCATCTTTAAATAATCAGTGACCATTTTATTAAATAAAGTGGTGAGCTTAGTCAGCAAAAATTCTCAAAATATTGTTAACAGGTTGTTATTTAAAACATGTTACCCTAAAGGACCAGTGTTAAAATACATAGTTGCATGATTGAAGTAAATACAGCTTCATGCACCGAGCTCAGTAATTAATTTTGCTCATTTTGTTTTTTATTAAAACCCTTCTTGTGTATGAGCACAGAAAAACGTGTCTTTATGTTATAAACTACAATTTAGGTTCAATTTTGCAAAAAAAAAAAACACCACTATTTTATCCATTTATGGATTTACTAGAGATAATTTCTTGTATTTTTTATAAAAGTGTCAAGAGTACCTGGGGGCCCTGCCACACCATCAAGAGTGCGTTCCAGTGTGTTCGGTCACTGGAACGCAACACGGCCGGCTCACTTTGTTTTGGGGCAGGAGGGGGCGTGGCAGTGCAGTGAACTCAATGTGCAAAACAGTGACGCCTGATTGGCTTACAGTGCTGCCCCCCTCAATCTCCCAGTCTGAGTGCTGCTCTGCCAGGAACTACATAAGGCAAATAACAGACAGAGCGACCTGCAAAAAATAGTGCCTGCAGCATTTTTTGCAGATCGCACTGGACCTGAATGCAGGCACTAATGTGCCATGCATTCAGGGTAGCGGCTATCGCACCGAGGGCGGGGGGCGTGGTTGCAGTGCCATTGATTTCAATGCACTGCCACACCCCCTCCGCCCCAAAACAAAGTGAGCCGGCCTGGTTGCGTTCCAGTGCGCTCAAGAGGCTGAACGCACTCTTGCTGGTGTGACTGGGCCCAATAAAACTGGATGCAATGTTTGCAATGCTATAACCTGTGTCGATGCCTTTTCTCACCCTCATAATGGCAATAGGTATCCCATTCGTGGCTTCTTTACTTGTAACGCAGAGTTTTGTGTTTATATCCTCAAATGTCCATGTTCCTTGGTCTATGTAGGCATGACAACAGGCCCTTTTAAATGAAGATTCCAGAAACATAGGAGCGATATCAGCATTGCACTATTAAAAGTCCAGAAAAGGGAGGAACTGGATGCAAATAAGCCTGTAGCAGTAAATTTCGCGCATAAACAACACCAAACGCATGACCTGAGAGGCATGGTCATTGAGCATGTCAGCAAACATCCCAGGGGTGGTGACAGAAATAAACAACTCCTCCGTCGTGAGGCCCACTGGATATACACTCTAGACACTATTCATCCTAGGGGACTTAACACTAACCTTGGATTGTCATGTTTCTTGGACGAAAGATAAACCCACATATATATATATCAATCTATTAGATACTTATATACCAGTTCTCATACGATTGGTTAACCTCTGACTATTTTGTATACTGATTATACTGTATATGACAGCCAGGGCCGTCTTTAATACTGATTGGACCCTGGGAAAACATTTTCTTGGGCCCCCCGTTCCTACCTATACCGACCCCCTACCCGCCCCCGCCATGCAATTCCGCCCATGCATACACAGGAGCGGAGCAACACTATGCAATACCGACCGCACAGTAAACAGAAGAGTGGCGCAGGTGTATCTTTTGCAGACTCAAGGGCGGGGCCGGTGCAAGGATTATTGTGTACACAGGTGAAGGTGCATTATTCACCCCCTCTCTCCCACCCCCCGGCGCCCGCAGACGACTGTCTATGCAGCCTTACTAAGGTTTATTGTCCCCCATCATATGTACATGGAAAGCATGTAGTGACCCCCATCACATACAGACAAGCAGCATGTAGTGGCCACTCTCTCTGGATGTTGTGTTCATGCAGCACATGCAGCAGCCAGTACAGACACTCAGGGCCTCCCCATCAGACACCCCCTGTTCATGCTGCCCTGATTCAGGCTGTAGTCCCCTCACCTGGCAGGCTCCCTATCCCTTATCCAGGTGCAAAAGCCACCTTTGCCAGCTGCACTTTGGGCCCCCCAACAATGACTGGGCCCTGGGCAGCTGCCCCTTTTGCCCTGCGTTAAAGAGGGCCCTGATGACAGCTAACATCTGCACATTTCTATGTTTTTTTCTATTTTTTTGGCAGGATTATGACGTCATTGTGACGTCAGAGGGTGTGTTTATTGGTGTTTTATGCAACTGTCTGTCTATTTATACCTAGATGTGATCACTGTACAATTGTCAATGCTAAAGCCTGATGAAGGGACCCTGCGCGGTCCCGAAAGCGCTTGTTTGGTCATATGACAAAAAACTTCAATAAATGAAGCTTTTGCTATCTTAAAAGGATTGGTGTGCTGGTGACATTTCTACAATTTTGCTGACATTTGCGGCGCCATATGCGGTCACTGCGAGCAGCCCCCACTACAAGGGACATATCGGTAAGGAGTGCGACAAGGATAGTACTTATGGGCCCTAAATGAGCCTAGTTATTTGCCTTAATTAGTTCCTTGCAGAGCAGCACTCAGACTGGGAGATTGAGGGGGGCAGCACTGTAAGCCAATCAGGCGTCACTGTTTTGCACAGTGCTGTCCTCAAAGAAAGTAGCCACGCTCACACCATTGTGGCTCTTCTCCTTCGTTATATAAACACTGGCTGGGTCCTAGACCAAGCTGCATTGCTGCACCAATGTGTAGAGCGCAGAAGCTGTCTGTTCTGTGTGGCCGTTGTGCTTGAATCACAAATCTTTTGGAAGTTAAAACCGTTTACAAATATGTATTTCTAATGTGTGTTGTTTTATTATCATTATTATTATTATTATCCAGGATTTATATAAATCAGCTTAAAATAAATATAATGATCATGTGCTTTATTGTATTTCATTTTTCAAAGAATGTGATCACTCAGTACCATCTTCTGTTTAGGCATGCGATCTTGAGGACACAATGACAGATGCTCTGGTCAATGATAAACCCAGCTTTGTAAAACTCTTTGTGGACAATGGAATGAACATTGCGGACTATCTGACCTATGGTCAGCTGGAAGAACTGTATAGCTCTGTGCTAGATAACACTGTACTGTGCCAGTTACTTATGCGCAAACATGAGGAAAACAGAGAATTCAATAAAGGCAATCATCACCAGGTGCACCTGCCAGTGGACATGGCTGGGAAAGGACATGACTTCAAACTCTTTGAAGTGGCCAAGGTTCTCCGAGAGTTAATGGGTGATGTTTGTTCTCCCTTCTACACAATAGTCCCGGTAAACACCAAGAACTCTGTGAGCAGGAGAAACTCCAGTGTAAGTATTTATACATTTATGAATTTCATTTGTTGGTGTAGTGGCAAAACATTCTGCAGCACTTTATGTAAGGCCATTTATTTGTGCTTTTCCTTTAGATTTACCAGATTATTGTTCGCACTAACAGGCAGAACTGGCTGATTATACTAACTGGCCGAATTTCATGAATCGACAGAACAGATTTTTCTTTGCCGCATGTGCAGTGTTCATGTTGCGTTTTTTTCCATATGAAAACGCCACTAATCCACTAATCCACTCTTGTGCTTAGTCTGCCTTTGCATGCTTGTGTGGTCTAAAAAAGGCTTGAATATATAATTACAGAAACAGGGATATTCACAAAGCTGCAGCAAAATACCAAGTGAATAACCCAGCCGAAGTGAAGTTTTACAGTAAATAGTTTCTCTATTCACTTCTGGCTTGTGCAGTCTAAAATCAGACGTACATTGGCTGCCTTTGGTCAGCCGAACATGCTCTGCATGTTCGGCTGACCCGAAGTGCAGAAGGACTTCGACTCAGCCAATCCAACATCTCATAGGGGCCGAACGGCAGTGAGTGATTAGCCGAATGCCGCTAAGTGGCATTCGGCTCAGCTATTCTGCTCGGTACCTCCATGGTACCGAACAGAATATAAAATAAGTAAAAATAAAGGGGGAAAAAAAACCAATTTAAAAACATTATTTTAAATAGGAGAATTAAAAATCAAAATTAAAAATACATCGCCCAGCTGTCATTTGCATGGAGATCCGACGGCTTTGGCCAACCTTTCTCCATGCTTCGGCTGTCACTTCAGCTCAGTCAAGCCGGAGCATATGCCTTTGGCCCAGCTGAGCTGCTCGGCTGCTGTACGGGCTATTGTAAAAAGAGCGACCAGAGGCCAGAGGCGACCAAAGAGAGCCGAAGCTGTATCCTTCGGCTCCATAGTGAATAACCCCCAAAGTGTTTTATATTTTACTAATTGACTTAAATGATTCTGTTTGAAAGCATGCAACATTTTAAAGGTTTTTTTGGGGGGATGGAGCAAAGAATAGAATGAACCTTTTTCAGGTGTTTATAACCATTTGTGTTTCTAATAGGAAGATTCACCTTCAATTCATGTCACCTAACCACCTTGTCACACCCTGGCCCAGGGGGTATCACTGGGACAGGCAATTTCTCCACTACACACATAGCAACTCTCCGAGTGCCCGGGTACCACGCTCCCATGAGTAAGCAGCTTGCGGTATACTGAGACCACCGCAGCCGGGATGGATCCCGACAATGCTGTCGAGATCCACCCAGCTGCGTGAATGACAGATGGCTCTGCCTATCTAGAGGCAGAGCCAGCTGTGCCTGCCCCCTCCCCCGTCCATTCCTCCAGTCAGCTCTGGAGGATCGGAGCTGGGAGGGGGGAATCCCTGCAGGGAGCCGTGACTGACAGTCATCGCTCTCTGCAGGGAGATGATCGAGAGGTGAGCGAGCGACGGTATGCGTTTGCTCACTTCCCGATCTATTGAGTCGACGTGTGACAGTTTCATTGTCACACGTCGGCTCGAACTATGAGCTATGAGAACTGTGATTCTCACTCACCTCATAGTTCTCCTTTAAGTAAAAGGTAAATAAACACACCACACCTTTAGAAAAAATCCATTAATTGAACAAAAAAACACAAACACAGTTTTTGACAATTCCTTTATTATTATTTTAAAAAACTAATTGTCAATCGATGTAATCCAACATCAATCACGTCGTCCAGCAATGGAGATCCACGTCAATCCTGATGAATGACACCCGCTGACTCGACGAAATAAGAAAAAGTTGCTGGGCGACGTGATTGACCCTGGATTAGTTGGAAAGTTTTTTTTTTGTTGGGGGGGGGATTTATAACGAAGAATACTGTGTTTGTGTTTTTTGTTCAATTAAAGGATTTTTTTATTAAGTGTGATGTATTTATGTGTATGGTGCAGGAAGGGGGGGGGTGCTCGCTCGTCCCACCCTTTCCTGCCCTGCCAGGCCACTGTCCAGTGATTAAGGGTCTAATGGGAATTTTTTTTTTTTTCTTTTTAAATTCTTTATTTGTGGACAAAAAGGTGGGGTACATTGAAAAAGAGAACATGCGGAGGCCACATGGTCTCACAAAATGTGTAAATAACAAACAGTGAGGCATATAGTATAAAACTCGATAACAGGTTGTAAGATTGGTTCAGGTAATTATAATGGTCCCCGCCCTTAAGGCATTTTATGGTGAACAAAAATAAACCAACATAACACACAAAACAAAATAAGAATGGAACACTAAGTTTGGGCGGCTGGTCGGGTACAGCCCCACTAAATGGGAGGCCAGCCCGAACACGGTCACCCCCCTACATCACATACTAGGCAGACAGAGACAAACACTGACTCACAAACATAAAGCAAAAAGAAACGTAGAAAGAGCAGAAATGAAAGTGAAGATTGCAGTCCAGCTCCACGGCAGCCCCCAGCCCTATCATCCCCAGTGTCATATATCCACCACTAATTGGGTGGCATGGTCGGGCAGCACCTCAGTCTCCCGCGTCCTCTCTGCATACTGTGGTGAAAGCATCCGAGCCCCTGAATTGGACCCAGGTTCCCCATGTAGCCACATATCTGGACTGCAAGTCCCGTAAACTGGAGGTTAGATCCTCCATCAAAACAGCAGAAAGGCATCATGGCACACTCACAAAACCACCATGTAAAACAACATGTCTCACCACTAAGGATAATGACAGAGGTTTGGATACACGTCTTCTGCTGAGGATGTGTAAGCCGCACTGCCGCGCCAAGGCACCTCCTATAGTGCGGTCCTAACTCTAAACTATGAGAGTCTCCATCTTGGAGCACATGGGGGCAGAAGATATCAAATTGGGTGCAGGTTTGTCAGGAGGACGCCCAACCTCCTTAAAGGCACAGAAACACACAAGGGATCCCGCACATCCTAATGGCAGCTGAGAAACCCCATGCGATCCTCCATCAGTCTAATCTCCTCCACCCTCCTCATCCACATAGTTATGGAAGGAGAGCGGGTTTGTCTCCACAGAGCAGGTATGCAGGCTCTAGCTGCGTTCAGCAGGTGAATCAGCAGCGAGCATTTATATGCCTTCCGAGAAAGCGGGGCCAGGTGGAGAAGATAGCCGCCTCTCTCGGACCGAGGGTCCTGCGCACACGGTCAATCTCGATCGGAGCGGTCGGGGGCTTATCCAGCAGGGAATTGAAGATGGCTGTAACCGCAGCTTTGAAGTCTGGGCCACTAGTGGCCTCTGGAATCCCTCGCAACCGCAGGTTGTTGCGACGGTTGCGATTATCAGAGTCCTCCTGACGCAATTGTAGATGAATCATGTGGGCTTTCTGTTGTTGCAATGAGGCCTCCAAGGTTGATAACCTGTTATCCCTGTAGCGTTCAGATTCCTCCAATGCAGCTATGCGCAGGTCATGCTGCTGTATTTCTGTGCGGACCTCCGCTAGGTCTGTGTGGAGTGTAGCAGCCAGTTGAGTCATCATCGCCTGCATGTCAGCGCGGGTCGGGAGAGCCGCCAGCAGATCATGCAGCCCCGCGCCTTCGGCTCTTCCAACAGTACTGGGCACAGGGGAGCCTGTCACTAGCAGTGGAGAGGGCACTTCGGACATATGTCCCGACATGGTGGAGGCTGGCGAAGAGGGCGGCTCTGAGATGGTATCCAGAGCCCGCCCATGGGCCGCATCATGAATCGGAGGCCGCGGGGACCGCTCCGCCGGTGAGGCAAAATCGAGCCCCCCGGTTCGGATGCGCACACTAGGCCCCGACATCCGTGGGGACATAAAAACATCCATCCGGGCCTGCGATCGCCGTGTAGAGGTACGGGGGTCTTGGCTTGCTTACCCGTCCTCCTCATGGGGCAGCGGGGTCGGTTACTAGTCGATTTACTGTGATTGTCACCCCCGGTCTGCAGAGCTCAGCCGATTAGCGTCCACTCGCCGCCATTTTAGGGGGGTCTCCACTTTTTGTTTATTGGGGTCCCCCTTAAAATTTCTACCAGACCTTGAGGGTCTGGTATGACATTTGAGGGGAACCCCACACTTTTTTTTTTCTTTTTGAGGATGCCTCCGAATGTCAACATTTCTGAAAATTCTTCAGAATTTCAGTTCAGAACAAAACTAATCGCATGTGTCTAATATGCAGGTCATTGAACACAAACAATTTTTTACCGATGTAAACATTACTGGATGTCTGGTTTTATCTAATGTTTTTTAACACTTGCATGAATAAACAGCATTGATTTTATAAGGAGTGTTTGGCTGTGTTTTGGCAAAAAAAAACACATTTTTTTTGTTATAAATTTCCCCACTACAGACCGCATCAACTGAGGTTCTAACCCTTCTCTGTTAAATAGGTGATTTTACAGAGGGACACTTCCTGTCCCTGTCAATGACATAGTAGTAGAAATCTCATCATATCCCATTCCCCTGCTCATACCAAATGTGATTAATTCTGTGTTAGTGTTCTCAAATCTGAGAGAAATATGAATGTGGTTATAATGCAGGTAAAGCCACAGAAACTCAAGGCGGGAGGTTTGGGAAATCAATACTCAAATTAGGACTCATAAAGGTATTTAATTGTTTTTGTCACTGAAAACAAATGCCCCATTTGTTATTTAACTCTAATATGTTATAATAATATATTCTGACTTTACTTTTTTTTCACAGAATAAAGCTAATCAAGGCAATGGAGACCCAAAGTATTACAATAAGAAATCAGTTTCTCCCTGGATTGACCTCTTCATTTGGGCAATACTGCAGAATCGAGATGACATGGCCACTTATTTTTGGGAGATGGTGAGCAATATGATTTTAAACTGTAACAGTGTATCGACTTGTGATCAACACTGAAAATTAAGCTTTGAGGCGCATAGCCTACTCGCTACATAGTTTAGTTTTTCATTTATACTTTGCTAATAATCAGGTGATCCTACGAAGCACCTCTAAGGTTAGGTTCACATCTAGGCGATTAATTGCACGGATTTAGCCGCGTGATATCGCACAAAACAGAGATTTGCATTCAAGTCTATGGAAGCTGTTCACACCTTTGCGATTTTTTTCACGCGTTAGAAATCGCCTGTCACACAAAAAGGTGCAGGAGCTATTTTCGGGTGGTTGTCGTACGGTTTGGTTCCCATAGACATCTCTATTCATGTTTTTAAAGCAAAATAGCGCAAACAAAAACGCGCAACAATCTAGCCTTAAAGGCGATGGAACTCCCTTCATGCTGCTTCTCACACACAGTAATGCTGATGCGAAAAATGTCAGCACTAAGTAGTTTCTCTAAGTAGTTTCACCAAAACGATGTATCATCTCAGCTGCTAATTTATATCACTTTTTTAAAAAAGAACAGAGTTACTTTAAGAAACCATATTCAGCTTGTGAAGAGACCTATAGAATTGCAACATTGAAAAAAAATGTAGTTATCACCCATTAGGTTTTAAAATTTTTAGTTGGGTCATAATTCAAGGTACTATACTGCTATAAATGTGTTTTATTTAATTGTATTTAATTGTATTGCTGTATAGAAATATCTAAAGTTTTTTCTCTGGTCCATTACTGCCACCTACAGGAGGATTGGAAATAGGCAAACAAAAAAAACTGCAGGCCAGCCCTGAGTATAACCCCTTCCACCACCAGGATGCTTACATTTTTTCTAGTGCCCTAGAAGAATTTACCAATTTTCTTCAGCTCTGCTGACATGTATGCTCTAGTAATTTCCCTTCTCTAATCAAGATTCTACTACCCGGTGCAGTTTTCCAGTGTCTGCTGTTGAATCTCACTGCGGGTGAGTAGGCCATTAAGGACCGTCACTTTAAGAGCTCCCTTTAGTTAGTGGCTCGATAGACAAAATACTGTACCCCTATTCTTGCCCACATACCACAGAAGGGGTTAATGCTGCTGGGAGAGAGCGCTGGTGACGCTGTGCTGGGTGGAGTGTGCGCACATGCACTTCTCTCTTTCTTTCACTGCCAGCCAGCATCGGAAAGCATCAAGTTGCTCCTGCTACACAACCACATGGAACATGCATTGGCACATGGTCACCTTTGGCTGCCCAACCGGCTGCCCAACCCACCGCTCTTGAATTTGTTCTGAAGTCTAAGGCCTTAGCTCCATTCACACATGCAGAAATGCACTGAAAATAAAAAATAATGCTTTTCAATGTGAGTTATTCATACTAGGGTGGCATCCGTGCGGTCGGAAAATGCGCGTCCTGCAAAAAAGTCCTACCAGGATTTTTTGGGGCGTATTCTGTGGGTTTCTGGCTATAGTAATAGCTGCAAATGCACGAAATCTGCGCGCATGTTAACGTTTACGCGTTTTCATGCCACGCGGAAAATGCTAGCGCTATGTGTGAATGGAGCCTCTCCTCCTTACTTGAGCCTGTCTGTTGCTTACTGCCATTACCGCCACAACATGTTTGGCCCCTTTCTGCAGAGGCTTTTTCCTTGGTCATGCAGGAATTTCTGTCTCAGATCACCTGGTTTCTGATCCTGAATGTAGAGGCCACAAGTGTGCTACCATGCTTTTCCATCAGTGTATAAATCTGACCCTGGCTGCTTCTAGTCAGTCTACTGTTGACACCTTCTCTGCTGAGTCTGCAACATTTCCAAGTGTATGCAAAAGTTTTGCATACACTTGGAAATCTTGCATTCCCGATGCCTGAGTGGAAGAGGTGGTGTGTTTAAAAGCTCAAGTTTTATTACCTGCCCCCTCTTTGATTTTCGTTTTGTAATTTCCCAATGTCCTTACAACTCCTTGTGGACATTGAATGGTCATCTGCCCGATCATGGACCTCAGGTCTCTAACAGATTTATTCACCAGAGGGTGAAGGGTTTGGAGAAGGCAGAAGTGAACAATCTAGGCCAGAATAGCTGATTCGGAATTCAGCTCACTTTCCAGTTCATCTATGTTCTCCTAGATCAGTGGTTCTCAACCTGTGGGTCGGGACCCCCTCGGGGGTCGAATGACGATTTGCCAGGGGTCGCCTAGTGGCTCTCGGCCGCCGGGAGAGAAATACTTTCTCTGCTCTGTTTTTTTTTTTTTTTTAATTGGGGGCCGCCGTAAGTCAGAAAAAAACCCCCCCCCCATAGGAATGCATAGCTAGATTCCTATTGGCTATTTCACTTTGCAAAAGCCAATAGCAAACTAGCTATTGCCCCCCCCCTCCGATGCAGCCAATCAGCAGAGGGGGACCTGAAGTTCTCCATCAGGTCCCCTTCTAGTGATTGACAGCAGCAGAGGGCGGGTGCAATATGTATGTATTCAAGCAAAAAAATATGTAAAACACACTTCTAGCTATTCATTCCATTTTCCCGGTCCGCAGCTGCAGAGATTGGGAAATGTCTCAGTGCCTGAGGGAAATGTCTCAGTCAGCTTCCTGGCAGGCTCGGCACGTGGAGCTGCGAACACGCCCGAGCCCATCCCTATCAGTGACAGTACTGCGGAGTATGTACCTCATACGTTATATAGCCACACACTTTAAATCCAATTCTTCTAGTTTCAGCTGCAGAGCCCAGTTCTGTATTTGCCTATAGCAGTGGTTCTCAACCTGTGGGGTCGCTGTGCTAGGTGAGAGTCCTCCTCAGCTCTCTCATAGCGCAGCAGTGTCAGTTCTCCTGCCACGCCTTCAGATGTCGCTGCAGGAGCCACGTCATCCCTACATTTTACCTTTGGGGGTCACCACAACTTGGCAAATGTTACCAAGGCGTCCCGGCCCTAGAAAGGTTGAGAACCACTGTCCTAGATTGATCACTTCTCCTAACTTCTCCAAGCTCTTCACCCTTTTGTGAATAACCCTAAAAATGTATTCATTTGAGCCAACATGTTTCAGATGGAATCCACAAGGTTATTCACTGCTCCTCTCCATTTAGGGGATTTCCTGGCTTCAGTGGGTACCAAATATGCATATTTACACACACCCATTTTTCTGGCAGATGTGTGCTTTCTGCGATTTTGCAGTGGGGTCCTTCCACTATGAGTTTGTGGCCCTCCCACTTGGCCTGTGTTCTTTCCTATCCTCTTGGGTTTTCACCAAGGTGTTAGCATTGGTCTTGACTCTCCTGTGCTCTTAGGGAATTCTGGTGATAAGCTATTTGAACAACCTCCTTCTACAGTAACAGAAGGAGGTTGTGTTTTAGCAGACGGGCTAGTGTGAATGGGCCCTTTACTGTCAATTCTTTTTTTTTCGGAGTCCATTGAGACACAGGTCCTATTTGCTCTGTGTTTATGGCCATTGTTCTTGTTTCTTTAATGCTACTAAATTAAAGCATGCTGGTAGTAGGTATACTCAGGGCTGGCCTACAGTATTTTGTTTGCCAGTGCCTGATCCTCCTATAGGCGATAAAACCCAAAGCTTCAAGGATTCCTCTGTCCCTCAATAGACCCTGAGAACAGGGTTTTATGGTGATTACAAAAATCCTACTTTTTCTAACAAGTGGGATATTTCACAGTCACAATGACTTTACATAGTTACATAGGTTAATAAAAGCACATCCGCATCTAGCACAATGAAAAATGTTTTTCCTTTGTTCCTTGCAAAGGGTTCAGAAGCTGTTACCTCAGCTCTCGCTGCCTCTAAGCTCTTGAAAGAACTTTCTCGCCTGGAGTCTGAAGCGGAGGAGTCGTTGGCTATGAAAGATCTAGCAGCAAAGTTTGAGCAGCTGGCAATAGGCAAGTGATGTTTTTCATTTTCTGTCTTTCCACATTTATTCACATATAGATCCTGATTTGTTAAGGTGTGAAGTGAGGTAAACATGTTAGCTTGCATTGACTTCAAATCTCCAATCATGTAAAAGAAGAAATTTACATTTATACATTTTACTTTATCTCACTTTAGAAATCCTGACTCATAGGGGCATATTTATAAAGCAGTGAATCTGACAATTAGCAACATTTTACTGCAGGTGAATCTCCCAGGTGCAAGTGTTTTAAATGCCAATAATTGATTCATCACCAGAGAATGTTTGGTAATAGTCACAGTTACTGCTTTATAGATAGACCCATAGAGTGCATAAAACAAAATTACTTGAATAGTGTCAACTAAAACTATGCCCATCTCTAATTAAACTTTTTTTTCAAATATGAATCCAGATCAAACAAATTTACATTGCCCAGCAAAGTATTTCTTTAAATGTTTGCCTGTGCACAAAGCTTCTGACACATCTGTATCTGTTCAGTTTTTCCTCCACCTTGAGATGGAGAATAGGAGTGGCTTGCCATGCTGTGCCTGTGTTTGTAGAGAAATTAAGGAAAGTCACTCGCACTCCAACTTGATTTCAGTCAATATTTATTGGCCTCTATAGTGTCACATCATAATAGCGACATTTCGGAACTGCTTATTCCCTTCTTCAGGCAAACAAAGAGTGAACGCCAAACAAATATGTTCAGAAATATATACATAACTGTGTAAACCAGTAAACAGTCATGTATATATTTTGGACATATTTTTGTGGTGTTCACTCTTTGTTTGCGGTTCTGAAACATCGCTAATATGATGTGACACTATAGAGGTCAATAAATATTCACTAAAATCAAGTTGGAGTGCGAGTTACTTTTTTCTTTATTTTACATAGATCTGCAGAGGCATCCTCTGTCACTTTGGCACCCACCCAACACTTTAGGGTACAATCTGGTCAGGAGTGCAATGGGTCGCGTCTATATATTGTGTTTGAAAATAAACACAGTTTACTAGCACACACAAGAGTGACTCCATAGGACCATGCAAAAGAAAAGGAGCCACCGTAAAACAGGAAATCAGGGCCAGTGCCCAGGGGACCAGTTAATTCTGCAGGAAATAGCTTAGAAACATTGTGACTTTAATATTGCTTTAAATAAGTTTAAAAAAAAAGAAAGGTAAACGTGTTTGCTTTAATAAAACCAATCATAATCAGCGTAGAAGGTGGCAGTGAGTTATTGATACCCCTTGCTAACCTCTCAACCCGCTCTGTTTTCAGGTACAAGGAGTAATGATGAGCAGAGATAATGTGCAAAGAGATTAGTAGTAGAGTTGGGAGGGATTGTGAGGGTTTGAGTGATGGAAAGTATAATGGGGTAGGCATGTTAGCTGCAGGGGATTTCAGATTTTATTTATGGAGCAGTGGGTATGGGAGTAAAGCTCAGGGACCTCAGCTAATATCTAATTCTAGGGCCATAGTGTGTCAAGCTACACCACAGTGTCTTGGTTTACACATAGGCATACAGCTTCAAGTTTTTTTTTTAAACTGATACCTAAACTTTTGTTATTGTTTGTTGTCATATGGGAACATCAAAATGGGTTTTTCTCAATGTAACCCTACCAAATTCATATAATTTCTGTCAATCTGGGGAACCCAAAAATTGATGGCATGACCTCATTTGAGATTCTTTCCCAGGGGCTGCACATGATGCCTTTTGACTGGAGGTTTGTACTTGAAAACATAGATTCCTTTTTTCTAATAACTCTATAATGGATATAAAAGTATTGTTCTTTCTTGCAGGAGTATTTAATGAATGTTACAGAAATAGTGAAAATCGAGCATTTAAGCTGCTAGTACGACGCTCTAATGTTTGGGGAGGGGCCACTTGTCTGCAGCTAGCTTACGAGGCAGATGCCCGCAATTTCTTTGCACAGGATGGGGTCCAGGTGAGAACACATTCTATGTGGCTGATCACACAGGATTCTAATCTTTAGCAGCGTTTGGTAGCTTTTCAGATTTCTTCTTCATGAGCTATTTTGGATGAAATGTAAAATAGATACACAGGAGGTATTGGTCAAAATTAATTCTATCTGTATATGGCTCTTTTTACTATTTGGAGCATTTTTAGCTGGAAAATCCCTGTTTTGCAGGCTGCCGTTGTTAATCTCCTTGTTAGCTTCCAGGCTGCCATGCTGATCCTATCGCTTTTAGTACTTTCTAAGCCACTGACTCATAACTCAAAGTACTGAAATCCGTAACCAAAAGGAGTCCAGCATTTTTAGGAGTTCATTGTTGAAACCTACTTACTTCTCTTTTTTCTTCTTTCTTGGTTTCTAAAAGTAATTAGGTAATGAGAGAAAAACAAGGGCCGTTGTTGCTTATTTCCTTTCAAAAATGCTAGTTGACTGTCTCTCATGCCAACCCTCAAGCTTCAGTACGTGTCACAGATCCAGAATTAACTAGTTCTGGAAAAACAGAGAAAAGTCAGAAGTTCCTAACTGCATACTTGTTTTGAAAGGTCACCAACTCAAGGTATTGAAGCAAGAGGGTCAGTATAACAGTCAAAAAATAGCATTCTCTGAAGGTGAGGTCATTAATGGTAGGCTCCACATTTTTCTCATACTTTAAGAACTTAGTATATGGTTACAAACGGAACAAAATTATGTAATTGTTTTTTATATAATTTCTGCTTATGTTTAGTTACATTTTAATGACATTAATTATATTACATGCTTATATTACAGTCTATGTTAACAGAGAACTGGTGGGGACAGATGGCGCATAACACGCCAGTATGGACAATGATTCTGACTTTTTTCTGCCCACCTCTTATTTACACAGATCTGATTGAATTCAAGTAAGTAAAACCATTCTATTTGCCATGGTAGATGAACCAACCAAAATGAGACCCTTTCAGGGTTCCAGAACTGTCTTTTGACACATTTCAAAGAAAAACAATTTGGTGCAGTGTGTACTAAGTATTGATACATTGTAGAGGTTCTGCCCCTACTGTATACTATGTATACTGTAAACTACAATGATAATAGTAGTCTTGGTGGTAATAAAATTAATTTGTTAACTTTTGTAAATAGGACAGAGAAATAGGCTGCAATTCAAGGATATACTGTCTGTACATGCATTTATACTGGGGGAAGGAGGGCCTGGCACTCTCTGGAATCAGCAGTGGGGAACACAAAGCTCTCCCTTATTCAGGGCTCATTCATCTTAAGGAACATCAGTTTGTCCGCACTGTCTGTAGACAGCCCTATCTTCCTCTTGTACCGGGGGGGGCTAGAAATGTTGAGAGCCGGTAGTCATCCCACTCTTTGCTCTTTGATAGGGTAAGGGTGGCAAACCAAAGGGTGGCAGCCCTAGAAGCCGGGAGAGCAGCTCATCTAGTAGAGGTTGTGAGGATAATGCAGGAAGGCCTATACAGAGATTCTATTATTCAGAGGAGGTATAGAAAAATTTGTCACCTCAACTGAATGGTTTGCTTTCTCTCTGCTGTCAGAGTTTGAGATGTGGTGGACTAAGTAGACAAATTACTGGGAGGGTCCGTGTTGGGACCAATGACAGAATATACAGAAGATGGAGGATGCTTAATCAATTAAGAGAACTAGGCTGCAACTGGGAGAGAAGGACCTCCAAGCAGGGGCGGATCCAGAGTCTACTCTCAGGAGGGGCACTGCCAGAAAATAAAGTTTTGCTTACAGAACGGTACACCACTGCATCCGACGCTGTGCATTGCACTTGGTGATGTAAGGCTTGGATGCAGCTGCTCCGCCATGGAAACCCATTCCATGAAGGTCTCTGGGCACTGTTGTTGTGCCAATCTGAAGGCCACACAAAGTTTGGAGGTCTGTAGCTTTTGACTCTGCAGACAGTTGGTGATTTCTGCACACTTCAGCTTGCGCTGACCCCGCTCTGTCATTTTTACGTGGCCTACCACTTTGTGGCTGAGTTGCTGTTGTTCCCAGTTGCTTCCACTTTGTTATAATACCACTAACAGTTGACCATGGAATATTTAGTACACATAGCCCCAACCTCCCTCACTAACTCACCATTGTGCTGGGCGGCAGGGGGGAACCCATGCGGACATGTCAGCTCTGTGGGAAATTCACACCAATCTTGCCTTACTGCTAGCCGCTGTCCTGGTCCCCGGAGAGCTTCACATCACCTCTTTGAAATCTCAGACATCCCAACTCTCTCGGACGCTCCGGGAGTCTCCCGCTATTAGCTAGATTTTTGTTTTGTTTCTGACATCGGGGCCACCGGCCACCGTCATTTAAAAAAAAAAAAAACAGCATAGGAATGCATAGTTAGATTGCTATTGGCTATTTCACTTTTTAATAGCCAATAGCAGACTAGCTATTGCACCCGCCCACTGCTGCTGTCAATCAGCAGAGGGGGACCTGAAGTTCTCCATCAGGTCCTCTTCTGGTGATTGACGGCAACAGAGGGCAGGTGCAATAGTCAGCTTGCTATTGGATATTGCAAATTCAAATAACCAATAGCAATCTAGCTATTCATTCCTATGCTGTCTTTTGTATTATTCTGATGGCAGTAGCTGTCAGAATAGGGGGGGCGGGGGGGGGGGGGGGGCACCTCCCTGAAATGAGCAGGGCACCTCCCTGAAATTTCTTTTTTCAGGTTGGGATCCCTGAAGTCTTGCCATGTGACCCCTGTTAAACAGAAATGCAGCTTACCACCAGCTATAAAAGACGACAAATTCTAGCAATAATTTATACAACAATGCAGAATACCATCAGCTTTGTATAATGTATTGCTGGGATGTGTAGTCCTGTAAAGCTGGTGGTATTCAGCATTGCTGTATAAACATTATACAGTAATGCTGAATACCACCAGCCCAGCTACAGTCTCCCAATCCCCCCTTCGCTGGCGCCAGTACATACAGCTGTCCCTCAGTGTCCCAGACTTTACTGCAGTTCATTGTACAAAGTTTTTTTACAATGAACCGCAGTAAAGTCTGTGACACTGAGCGACAGCTGTATGTAGTTGTGTCACTACTACTGCGGGACCTGCGGGTGGCAGAGGCAAGGATCGGGACGGAAGCGGCGCTAATCCCGGGGGGGGGGAATTGCCCCGTTGCCCCCCCCCCACTGGATTCGCCACTGCCCCCAAGGTTATATTTTCTGGAGTGTTGCCTGTGCCATTTATAACACAGGAAAGACAGCAGGAGCTTAGAGAGTGTCTGTGGTTAAAGCTTAGGCACCCATGGTAGCTGCAAACCCAAACCTTATCCCTGGTCTGATATTGTTTGATGTATCCAAAAATGTAGCACCATTACTTTTAAACCTATTTATAAACGAAATAGTGTTTGGGATTATTGATACCATTTCTGTGTTTGCAGACAACACCAAGCTGTGTAGTAGAATAAACTTCTTACAAGATGTCTCTGACTTTCAAGCTGACCCGGAGGCTCTGTTTGATTAAGCAACCACGTTGCAAATGAGGTTTCATATTGACTAATGTAAAGTTATGCACCTGGGGGTTAAAAACATGCATGCATCATATATTGTAGGGGGGAGTGCAGCTGAAGGAGTCAATAACTAAGAAGGATCTTGGTGATCTGGTAGATCATAGACTTAATAACAGCATGCAATGCTAAGGTGCCATTTAGGGAAGCACCAATACCATTTTTACAAGACCATTTTTTCAAGACATTTTTTTCATAAAGTACTCACTGATACCAATTACTGATACCTTTTTTTTGTGTCATGTGACAGTTTTTCTTAAACAATACAGACTAATGATTTTAGGACAGTGGTGGAGTGCCAGGGCCCAGTCGCAGCTGCAACTGCTGTGACCCTAGTAGTTCTGCTACTGACTTCAAGCTGTAGAGGGACTACAAATCTCAGCAGTACAATATACATCAATGCAGAATACCATCAGCTATAGAGGACTACAAATCCCAGCAATACATTATACAACAATGGGGAATACCACCAGCGATAGAGGACTACAAATCCTGGGTCTCACCATGGCTGTGCGGTCTCACCAGGGCTGCGTGTGGGTCTCACTATGGCTGTGTGGTCTCACCATGGCTGCATGCGAGTCTCACCATGGCTGTGTGGTCTCACCAGGGCTGTGCAGTCTCATCATGGCTGTGTGGTCTCACCAGGCAGCATGTGGGTCTCACCATGGCTTTGTGGTCTCACCAGGCCTGCGTGCAAGTCTTTCCGGGGCTGTGTGGTCTCACCAGAGCTGCATGCAGGTCTCACCAGGGCTGAGCCGGGTCTTGCCATGGCTGTGCGTGCAGGTAAGGGTGGTGGGGTCTCACCATGGAGGAGGAGATGTGCGGCCAGTCCGTCACAAGGTTCCCAGCAAGCTCGAGACCTTACGACAGCTGCTTGCGCTTAAAATTTGAAAGTGCCGGTTTTGGTGCTTAGTATCGGGGCATTTTCATGAGTACGATATTGTGGGGTATTATGGAATGGGAGAGATTGCAGAGAAGGGCAACTAAACTGATGAGAGGCATGGAGGAGCTCATTTTTGAGGAAAGATTAACTAAACTGAATTTATTTTACCTTGAGAAGAGATGTTTAAGGGGTGATATTATCATTTTGTAGAAATACATAAATAGTCCATATAGTGTAAAGTTGTTTAGTTTAAGGTAATTGCATTGACAAGTGGGCACTCTTTTGGATGTGGAAGAAAAGAGATTTAACCACATACAGAAAGGCTTCTTTCTTTGTGAACATTCAGAGAATATTGTGCTGAATTGAGCTAAATTTATGAAATGTTTTTTTTTAACATTTTTTCAATTCTTGTTTTCAGAAACTCTGATAATGAGAGCGGAATGGATAATGCCCAGCGAGTGGAAATGGACAGTCTGGATATTGATATAAAGACTACTGTGGCAGAAATCATGGAGGGGTATGTTACTAACATTAAAGGTTTCTTCAATGTAAGTTAATCAAAGACAAGTAATTTGAAATCCTCCATATAACATTGGATAGGGGCCCCCCTCCTTCAGCACCATGTTTTAATTTGCTGGCATTGCTCTGCACCCAGTACTGGTTGTAGCTATCGCTGCTTTTGCAGACCTTGAATGACTGGTCAAAGTCACTAACAAGAGATTTAATCAACGGCAAAATAGACCAATGGTTGGAGAATTGCACGAACCAGATGGATATCACTTAAGCTGCAAGCTTTAGCTGTGATGGAGCACTGGATGCCACCCAATGGTGCTCTCACATCACCGTTTGTCAGTTCACATGCACATGGCTATAATGTTGGGCAGTGGAGCAGGCACCTAAGAATACTTTGTGGGTCAGTATCTCTTTGGAGCCTTGGTGGATGAGCTCACAAAGGATGTTACTAAGGGTAAGAGCACTCACCTCTTGCAAGATAAGAAGGGTAAGGACCAGGCTTTCCCAGCCATTCCCTTCCCAGAAAGTAATCTAGGGTTTTCCTAACGATTTACAAATATACAGTAAGTGTTACAAAGATAATATATAAGATAACATATGATCAAATACTCCACCCCGAGAGCCACTAGACATACCACTGCTACTAGTGGTAATGCATACAATATACACAGGATAGCTGGGAGGCACAGGGATCCCTGTTTACAAACAAGATCACACAAATAAATAATACAAGCAGAAGGTTTGCAGAAAGAACCTGGTGCAGTCTGAAATAGAAGTGAATGACATTTCACCTCCACCTCCATGTTTTTGTACCCCTTGGGGTTGGCCTACAGGTTTTTGTTTGCCAGTGTCCAATCCCCCCGTAGGTGGTAGTATAACCCAGTTGTTCAAGAATCCTGTATCTCTCAATATATTCCAAGAATAGGATTTTACAGTGAGTACAAAAAAACAATTTTTAAATACAAGTTGTCAACCCTTAGTTAGCCCTTAATAGTTCTTAATAACTCCACTTTTCTTTGCTTAGTTTTTTCGGGGGCTTTTACTGTTTGTATGTAAACCTTTTTTTAATTCGTATACATTTTGTTGGCTTTTGAAATTCTGCATTAAAAATACACAATTTGTATCATAATTGTAATGCTTTTATAAAAGTAACAATTTGCCAAATGAAATTAGACTTTTTGAAGAGTTGCAAACTGCCTTATTACCAGAATAAATGTTGCCAAGAAATCCTGGGTTTGTTTTACAATGCTCATTATAACTACAGTATATCGCACAACATTGCCCCTCTATCCCATTTGGTTTTCCATGGGCTAAATGGTGACAGCCACAGGGCTAGTGGACATACGCTTCAATTTCTGTACTGTTCACCAGTCTAAACACTTTAGCATATTCATATAGGGTGCCAGAGGTAACGGCTACACCCTTCGCGTAGTAAGAGCTTTAATCACAATATTTTGACTGAAATATTTGTCCAGCACCCCTTCCTCTTTTCTTCCAGTATATGGCCTTTGCTTCTTTGCAGAGACAGACATTTCAGGTAGAGCCTGAAGTAGGGGTCTCTAGCAAAATAAGAAAGGTATGTCACTGAAAGCTTCCTACACTTACTCTGGACAACTGTGCCGAAAAAAAGGCAAGCAGAGAGCAAAGAACTAGTTATCATTATTGCAGGTAGGCTCTCTGTAGCTGATCTTTTTCCCTTTACTTACTGACAATTATTTTTTTCTGTGCACTGTGTTTCTGTGTGGTGGTGGCCATCTTGGTAGAGGTAGGGCTTCATTTACTTATGTTAGAGTTGCCCACTTGATGAGTGGTTATCTAAAAACTGGTGGAGGATTTTCAAAAAGCAGCAGAAGAGGCACAAAATGAATATAGTAGAAACAGGGAGACGCAGGAAGTGCTGGTCCCCGGGTACAGATTCCTGTTTAGCAAGTGGCATAGTAGTGACATCACTAAATCTTACTCCAACTGTGGCAACAGTAGCAATTAAAGGCAGCAGTACCTCTCACATAGCAGATATTCAGGTATGAGACTGTAGGCACAGGAGAGCCCAGGCACCCTCACTTATCAGGGAATGTATTGCTATGTTTTATAAGAAAAAATCTTTCCAGGTTATGCTTAGGCACAGTTAATATTCTTAATATAGCATAGCAAATCTTCACTTTTTGGGTTCAGATCCACTTTAAGTTCTCACACATCAGTTTTCTTTTTAGCTCCATGGTAATTGATGATATGTCTTGAATTTATTTTCAGAGAAGAAACAATGAGGGAAAAAAGTGAGCTTATGGAGCTGAAACCTGGGAAGGCAACTGACGTAACCCCAGGAATCCCAGATGTGGAAACTACTAAAGACAAGTCCCGGCCGAAATGGATGAGACGCTGGAAGCAGTTCTGGAGTGCCCCCGTCACTGCATTCCTGGGCAATGTTGTCATGTACTTTACTTTTCTCTTCCTTTTCTCCTATGTGTTGCTCATGGACTTCAAAGGGCCACCACCCATTGGTCCAGCCCCTTCAGAGATGATATTGTATTTCTGGGTTTTCACCATGGTGTGTGAAGAAATACGACAAAGCTTCTTTGTAGGGTCAATGCCAGTGGCACAGAAAGTGAAGCAGTACTTGCAGGATTCTTGGAATCATGTGGACATCACAGCCCTGTTACTTTTCATCTTTGGCCTAATTTGCAGGTAGATCAACATGGGAACTCTTTTACTTATAAAGGATATTTCAAGCTGCTCTTTAATGCAAAATGTAAGCACTACTATTGTATGTCCTAATGGAATCTATCGGTTACAGGATAATTCTCTATTGCCTCAAATGATTGGTGATTGAATGATCATTTGTTCATTCTATAGCACCTTTAAAGGAGAACTATGGGGTTTAGGCTTTTCCCCATAGTTCTCCTTAGGGTAACGGGAGGACACAAACTAGCGTCCTCCCGTCACCCTAAGCTCAGTATACTGCAAGCTACAGCTTGCGGTATACTGAGACGCCGCAGCTGAAGCGGATCCCGACAATTATGTCTGGATCCGCCCAGCTGCGTGAGTGACAGCTGGCTCTGCCTATCTAGAGACAGAGCCAGCTGTACCCGCCCGTTCCGCCAGTCAACGCTGGTGGATCAGAGCAGGGAGGGGGGAATCCAGCCCCCCCCCCTGTCACGGCAGAGAGCTGTGACAGGATCGAGAGGTGAGCGAACGCCGGTATGTGTTCGCTCACCTCCCGATCTACTGAACCGACCTGTGACAGTCTCATTGTCACAGGTCGACTAAAACTATGAGGTGAGTGAAAAGCACTCACCTCATAGTTCTCCTTTAAACAGTGCACAGCCTGCCCTTTAAACCCCCCACAGGCCTTACCAAGTTTCCAATTAACAGATTATTTTGAATGACAGTAAAGGAAGAAAAGGAAGTGGGGAACTGCAGGCCTGCTCTCCCCAGGCCTCAGGGAGGAGCTGGCAGCACTATGCAAGGATCTTTTCTCATGGCATTATCAGGTACCTTCTCATGCCTACTATTCATACCTGGGCTTACACTTACATTGTTGTAAAACACAACAGGGTCTCACCAAGTGCTTTAAGCCTTTAAGCAAAGGAAACTAAAACTGTCAATCACTTCAGAGCACCGAAATACGTCAGTGCTTGCGGCAATGTTATATACAGCAGCTGGTGACCGCGTCGCCTTTCTCACTCTGTAACCCCTTCTCCCCCTTCCCTATGCCTGCTTTAGCCAAATGCTGAGTGTGCATTTTCTCCAGCCCTGGTGGGTCATATACCACAATGGTATAGGTTTGCCAACACCACACTGCTATTACATCCCCTGACACTGTGCTACTATGGGATCCCAAACAACCCCACACCACACTGCTTTGAGATCCCCACACCTGAACACTGCAATGCTATCATATCCCCACACAATATAATTATCGCATCTCAAAACCAGTTAAATCCCTGACACCAAGCTGCTATAAAGCCCCCAACACCTGCTCACGGATCCAAGACATATACTGTAACACTACACCACTATTGCATCTCTGTTACTGCACTGCTATCAGATACCTGGCACCCCAAAACTGCACTAATGTCATATACCCATCACCACCTTCCATCATAGTGCAAAAACACTGCACTCCTTTTAGCTCCTGGCACGCATGGGGGGGATGAGGTGGCAAGCCGGGTCGACTGTCAAACAGATCAAGGCAGCAGGCAACAGGATCCGTTATGGCAGGTTATGCGGCCGTGCTGGAGCCTCGGACGCACAGTTCCAAAGAGCAGCCATCTGATCAGGGACCTGATTCTGGCTGTGCTGCTGCAGTGTACTGAACTGTAAGGAGATACAACCAGGGTCCAGGAAGCCCCCACTGACCACCAGGCTAAGGTAAGGTGACACATTTTTTTTAAATAAAATCCCGGGAACATAAAATATATATATTTTTTTTAATACTACTCACCTGATTCCTGGATCCAACAGGCGCGGTAACTCTGGTTACGCCACTGCATTGCACTACTCCTACAGTAAACACCATCAATCTTTTGTTGCTTCACACACATCCCCATCCTATCCCCAGCACCTATCCTTTCCTTTCAATTGCCTCTAAGATTGTATATGTCAAACCTTTTTACAGGCAGGAACATCTGAAATAACTTTCAGGTCTCAGGGAACCCTTGCTAATTAATAATTACTTTACCTACAGCTCACAGTACATTAGTGTGAACAGTGAGTTGAGACATAGGAATAAATAAAAGCATAAGGAATGTGGCATACTTGCTGTATTTGATACCTCGGTGCTGCTCTATACAGCAATTTATTTAGTAATAATGAAATCTCTCGTATTGGTGGTCAATAAATAAATGCCCTATTCATTGCTGACATTCCACTCGCCCCCCCGCAATTTTCACTCGCCAATTGCGAGGGGGCGAGTGGAGATTTTGAGGCCTGCCCTATTACATAGATGGTCAGTGAAGAAAGGTCCCCTTATAGATTCACGGCCAGTTGGAGAAGGGCCAGATTATACTAGTGGTCAGTAGGGGGCAGTACATTGGTGTCCATTATGAAGAACGGTGTTTACATTGGTGGCCAGTGATAAACCTGCCCCTTACATTGGTGGTCAGTGGAAAGAATGCCCCCTTTGCATATAACTAAAAAGATTACTGGTGTCAGTGGTAACATATCTGAGAGTCATAAATTGCTAAATGCTCAAGAAACCCCTAGCAACCTCTGGAGGAATCATGGTTCCATGGAACCCTGGTTGAGGAATAATGCTCAATAACAATAAGCCCCATCTCACTTATAGTATACTAACTTACATGCCAGTCCTATCACTTACCTTCCATTGTCATTTAGTTCTGTCCCCAGTGTTTCTTACAGTTTGCTCCATCACACCTGTACCTTTTGTTTCTTCTTAAAGTGTAACTGTGGGCAAAAAAATTACATATGATGCAGTCTGTCAATAGCATTAACAGAGCCACTTCCCCAGTAGATATGTTATTTTTTCATGTCCTGTATCAGGCCAAGCTGTCCAGAAAAAGTGGCAGGTACATTGTTGGGACAAACCATATAACCTTGGCAGGAGTGCTTAGAAACATCAGCTTTTATTCATATAGGGTACACCTTTTTTATAGGTCCTTTTATAATAACTACATGTGGATTACCCTGTCCACAAGGTAGCAACTCTGCCTTGTGATTCCACTGTAGGGGGAACAGTGATATCACCCTGTTATAAGAAGTGGAAAAATAACTGATCTTACCACAGGATCAACAGCTTTCTAGCAGAAAGTTCCTCGCAACTGTGTGCATACTTAATCAGATCCATTTTCTTTACAATCAATTTCATCATCTTTCTGCACATTAAAAAAATTATCATTGCTGCCTTTCTTTTCCACTTCCCAAAAACATTACATTAACTGTCATGCTCTCCTGAATTGTATGTACTGCCCACTGTTATACCCTCTGCACTCCTGTCCTGCATAGATATGGCATGCCGTTTTACGTAGTATTTGTGGTTTGAAAAAAGACACAGGTCCATCAAGTTCAACCTTTTGTGTGTGTGTGTGTGTGTGTTGTGCGTGCGCGTATATAAGAGTCCCTGTGTGGTCTAGTATTTAAGTGTAACTGTACCCGTATATAATACGGTCTATTAGGATGATATCTAATTGATTTTTGAACGAATCAATATTCTTTGCAGATACCACTGCTTGTGGCAGAGAATTTCAAAATGTAACCACTCTACCAATTTTAGGTGGTGGCCTCTAGTCCTTGTTATGGAGTTTACAGTAAAAAGTTTAGTGCCGATGTTGCCATTACCACTAAACATTTTGTACAACAAAATCATGTCCCCTCTTAATCTCTTCACTTCCAGCGTAAATAAGTTTAAATTTAGCAACCTTGTCTCATAGCTTTGATCCTCCAGCCCCTTAATTAGCTTAGTTGCTCTTCTTTGGACCTTCTCCAGCTCAAGGACATCTTTTTCTATGGACTGGTGACCAAGACTGAACCGCATATTCAAGATGAGGGCGAACCAGTGATCTATAAAGTGGCAAAATTATTGCTTTGTCTCTACAGTACATTCCTTTTTAATACAAGACCCTACTCTGCTCGCTTTGTTTGCCACCACCTGGTATTGCATACCATTGTTCAATCTGTGTTCTACTGTGACCCCCAGATCTTTTTCCATTTCTGACTTCCCTAGTGGAGTTCCCATTAATGTGTAATCTGCGTGCCAAAGTGCATTACTTTACATTTTTCAACATTAAACCTCATCTGCCATGTAGTTGCCCACTCCCCTATTTTATGCAGGTCCTCCTGTAATGTTATAATGTCTAATCCCGTGTCTATTACCCTCCCAATTTTAGTATGATCTGCAATCACAGAAACATAGCTATTGACACCCTTTCCAATCTCATTATTAAACAGGTTAAATAGTATTTAACTCCACTCTCAACCTTAGACCATTGTGAAAAAGAGTCATTTATCAATACTCTCTGGACTTGTTACTGTAGCCAGTTCTCTATCCATGTACACACCATTTAATCTATGCCCATCAATTTAAGCTTGTGTATTAAGCGTTTATGTGGTACGGTGTCAAATGCTTTTGCAAAATCCAGGTACACCACATCCACTTGCATTCCTGTATTCAGATCTCTACTCACCTCTTCGTAGAATGTTAGTAGGTTGGTCTGACAAGAATGGTCCTTCATAAATCCATGCTGATTATCACTTATAATACCTTAGTCACGAGCAAAATCCACTAAATAGTCCTTTATCATTCCCTCAAACAGTTTGCATACTATTGATGTTAGACTGACTGGTCTGTAGTTCCCATGTTCGCATCTTGAACCTTTTTTGAATATTGGTACTACCGAACCTTAACCAGTCACTTGGTCCTTAAAGAAGAGGAATAATGGTCTGGTTATAACCTGGCCGAGCTCCTTAAGTAACCTGGGGTGCAGGTTGAACCCAGACTGTCAACCGCTGCGGTATCTTACACACTAAGCTACTCACATCTTTATCTCCATTAAACCCGTCTTTTTCCTGAGTGTATACTGAGGAGAAAAATTAATTTAATACCTCAGCCTTCTCTCTGTCGTTTGTGACTAATCTCCCTTTCTTGTCTTTTAATGGGCCCATCTGCTCTTTTCTTACCTTTTTACTGTTTATATATTGGAAGAATCTTGGAGGGGGGGGGGGTTCTTACAAACTGTGGCAATATGCTTTTCGTAATCTATTTTAGCTACCCGGATTTCATGTTTACATCTCTTATTACATTCCTTGTAGCTCTGGAATGCCAATGCAGTCCCCTCCATCTTATATTTCTTAAATGCCAGCTTTTTGTCTTTGATATGTTGTTTTACCATTTTATTTAGCCATGCATTTAGTTCTTCATCTTTTATTTTTGTTACCTAATGGTATACACTTGGTAATAGCATTATGTAATGTATTCCTAAAACAATCCCACTTCTCGTCAGTGTTCATTGTTAGAAATAAGTTGTCCCATTTAGTGTCATTTACTAGATAACGCAGCAGAAATTTAGCATTCTTGTAACACCAACACACTTCTCTTTTCTGTACCCAATATTAAAACCAATTATTCTGTGATCACTTTTACCCAATGTATCCCTAATTTCTATGTCCTTAACTAGGTTCACATTATTAGAGATTAATAGATCTAGAATTGCATTTTTCCTGGTCGGGAACTCATCTGATCCATGAAATTGTACCGCAACAGGTTTAGAAAACGGTCAGCCTTTATAGAATGAGAAGTACCATGTGACCAATCAATGTCCGGATAATTGAAGTCACACATTATAACAACATTTCCCTGTTTCCCCGCCAATTCTGTTTGAGAATGTTGTTGAGTCTCCTCCTCTTCCCCTATATTCAGGGTTTATAACACGCACACAAAATACGTTTACCACTAGATGCGGTCTTATCTAGTTCTAACCACAACGACTCCACACCATCACTACTATCTGCCGTGATGACATCTCGTCTATGTACATGTATACCCCTCCCCCCTTTTACCAATCCTGTCCCTCCTTAACAAGTTGTACCCCTGTACATTAGTTGCCTAGTCATGTGAGCTGTCTAGCCAGGTTTCTGTTATTGCCCCTATATCGAAGACCTCTTCAGTTAACATAAGTTCGAGATCCTCTAGACTTCTAGCATTCGTGTACATACATTTTAGTTTAGCGCTAGTGATACGAGATTTGTTATTGCTCATACCTGGTTCACAACTATTTACTTTATCTGACCTTATTACGATAGGAACATTACCAATCTGGACATTAGGAACATTACGAATCTGGACATTACTAATTAGTTTAATTAGTTTGACTGGAGTGAGTCTGCTGTCCCCCTTTTATAACTGCCCTCTATATTAAATGCCCCTGTAGTTACATACTCTGTTTATTTTCCCCATTTTTATTCCCTCCCCCCATTATCTAGTTGAAATGCTCCTCTAGTCTTTTAACCATTTTCTTCCCCAAAAGTGCTGCACCTTCCCCATTAAGATGCAGCCCATCTCTGCCATAGAGCCGGTAACCGACTGAGAAGTCAGCCCAGTTCTCCATGAACCTGAAGCCCTCTCTTCAACACCAGTTCCGCAGCCACTTGTCTGGTTCCCTCAATTCCCTCTGTCATTTATAGTCTGACCAGCGCATCAGTAGAGGGTTTGGGTATCACTAAGGCTGCAGCTGTTAGAATGTCTTTGCCAAGGGCTGCATTCTTGAGGAGACGATTGGGTTATGTGGGTATTATGTGGGCTTATGGTCAGAACTTAATAAATATGAGAACTTCTTAAAATACGTTTTGGTTAGTCTATCTGGGCCTGGTTCAATTTGAAATTTAAAGTGTAACTTACAGCAAAATCAAAAATTACATATGTGATGCAGTCTGCATTAGCATTAACACTGCCATTGTGTTTTTCTGAGTTTCCCATAACATAGTTTTAATACCTGTTTTTTCTGCCAGTTAGCTATGTTGTTAGTTTCCTAATCATCTTTGTGTCTTTTTACAGAATGTTCAATGAATCATACGAGTCAGGACGGACCATCCTCTGCTTCGATTTCATGGTTTTTACTCTCCGTCTCATTCATATTTTTGCTGTGAACAAACAGCTGGGACCCAAAATCATTATTGTCAGAAAAATGGTAAGTGTGTAAGATCACAGTGGGTCACATTGCAACTTGCAATAAGCAGACAAGTATCACAGCTAGTCCCCATTCACACCAAGGCGCCAGCGTTTCCGCACGTTTTATGCGCGTTTTTCCTTTGCACGGTTTAATGTGCTTTACGCGTATTTTGTGCGTTTATGCGCGTTTCCCCTATGCGCGTTTTGGACGTGTTTCTGCATATGGGTGTATTGAGTGTTGTCCAATGTAAAGAAGTCCTGCCCATGACATAAACTCCTACACATTAGCCAAGGGGTTAACAACATCAGCCTTTCAGCAGCTATGGAACTACAAGTCCTGTGATGCATATAAAAGTCTGTACACCCAGAAAAGAAGTAGTTCCACAACACGTGGAGATCTGCAGCTGCACAGACCTACAATAGCCACACATGCAAGCAGAAACATAAGCTACTAAAGCAGGGGCAGCCAAGCTCCGGCCCTCCAACTGTGGTGAAACTATAAATCCCAAGATGCATCTCTCTCCTGGAGTAATGTCTGTGAGAATCTCGCAATGCCTAATGGGATTTGTAGTTCCACCACAGCTGGAGGGCCGGAGTTTGGCTACCCCTGTACTAAAGTATCACAACAAACTTTAGATGCACCACATGTCACATGCCACACGTCACATGTCTCACCTTTGCCTGTTCAGAGATGGAGGGAAAGATTCCTATTCTGGCCAAATCTGGCAAGCAATTTGCATCCAAGACTGCCTCCTCCTTCCTCTATTTTTATAAAGGGGGTTGCGGAGGTCATACAGCCATGGTTGTGCCTGTATTAGCCTTATAAATGCCTCAGAATCAACATTTTGCAGACATGAATCAGCCATTTTGTTTCCCAGTGTGCTTTGCAGGTGGTCTTCCACAATGTATATGCACACAAAACGCGCAAATGCCTGTTTTTGGCACGGTTTCCATTGAAATCTATGGAGCACAAAGATGCTGAATCTGCCTGAAAGAAGCTCATGCACCTTTTCCAGCGTTCAGCGTTTTTACAGCTTGCTGCTAAACTCTCAGGTGTGAACAGGGGCCATAGAAATGAATAGGAATTCTTGCGTTCTGTGTTTTGACGCATAAGCTTTCAGTGTCAAAACGCCCAGGTGTGGTTAATAGTGGTATCGCCATCCCAGATGAACAATGTGACAGGAACATATATATTTTCATATTTTAGAAGGTCAAAAATGCACATACTGTACATACTGTACTTTGCTGTAACTTTAGCTGTGTTTGTGTTTCCTTCTCCCTACAGATGAAGGATGTCTTCTTTTTCCTTTTCTTTCTGGGAGTCTGGCTGATTGCTTATGGAGTTGCCACAGAGGGTCTCCTACACCCCAATGATATGCGTTTGAGCTGGATTTTACGTCGTGTCTTCTACCGGCCCTACCTTCAGATATTTGGTCAAATTGAACTAGACAAGATGGATGGTAAAGTGAAACACAAACAATAAAATGACTACTTCTCTAAAAATCTTTCTCATATTTGGCCATTGCATTCTTTCAGACAGACCAGAGTTAGAGTTAGATTTAGAGTGGCCATATACAGTAGCTAATCAAATGGTCAAAGAATGGTTATTTTTTTTAGATTTCTCAGCAGGCACTTATAAAACACTTTGTTTAGGGAGTTAACTATTTCATGCATACGTATACATAAAAATAAGCAGAAATGCCAGTTTAGAACCAGCTCTGTCATCCTGAACCCTTGTTGACCATGCTGTATTTGTTTCTTCTCACCCCACCACTCATTGTATAAATTTGGAATACACCATCCTATACATTTTTCATTGTGAACAAACATATTATAGACCCTGCCTCCCTCTATGCCAATGCATATTATAAATGAATATTAGAGTGATGAGAAAGTATTTACAGCATGATTTGCAAGGGTTTAGCATTGGGTTGCAAAGGCAGTCATTCCGTGACTGATGGGTATGGCTGTAACATTATGAAGGTAAACACTAAACAAAGCAATGGATAGTGGCTAGTAATTCAAAAATCACTGCGCTAGGAGTGAAAAGCTAAATAACTAATTAGACCAGCCGCAACAGTGTGTGTGAGTGAACTTATTATGTCGCAAGTGAGTTGCGCTCGGTCTGGAAGCAAATAAAAATAAATGTTGAATGTGTACTCTTAGAAATGTGAAAAATTATAATTTAACAAGTGTAGGTACCGGTAATCAGTATCTCGGCTTTAGGTAAAAATTCAGCTGTGAAAAAATGCTTATGCTGTGAAAGAATTATAAATCCCGGTAATCGCTATCTCCGTTTATGACTGTGCAATACGGCAATCAAGTGTGGGAAAAAAGTTTTCGATCACCAGCCGGTGTATCGATTAGGTGTTTCTGTGTGCTGAGTGCACTTGATTTGTCCAAACAAACCTCCTAATGCTGTGAACATCTATTCAAAAACAACAATCCAAATATAAATGACCAGGTATCACATACTGGTCGTGTATAGGAAAAACAAACCCAATTCAAAATCCCAATCTCCAGGTAGTGACAAATTTTAAATATAGTGCGAACATTTAAATAATATGGAAATTAAGCAGTATGAAAAATTATCACATATACAGGTGAAACTCGAATAATTAGAATATCGTGCAAAGTTCATTTATTTCACTAATGCATCTTAAAAGGTGAAACTAATATATGAGATAGACTCATTACATGCGAAGCAAGATAATTCAAGTCGTGATTTGTCATCATTGTGATGATTATGGCTTACAGCTCATGAAAACCCCAAGAACCCCAAATCCACAACCTCAAAAAAGTAGATTATTACATGCAATCAATAAAACAAGGATTGTACATAGAACAATATCGGACCTCTGAAAAGTACAAGCATGCATATGTACTCAGTACTTGGTTTGGGCCCCTTTTGCAGCACTTACTGCAATTACTTTTGCACGATATTCTAATTATTCGAGTTTCACCTGTACAGTGCTGCTCCGTGCACTCTGATTACTCTCAAAGAAAAAGATTAAATGCGGGGTTAATTAACTAGAATACCGGCACCGATCTTAGTGAGCAGTCAGTTCAGAGCGGTCATTTCAAACATCTCCAACCCAGGGATAGTTCAGAGAATTTAGCTGTGCACACATGATTACCTATTAGCCTGAGTCTGCTGAGCCAAGCTCCCCGACACCTTTCTGGTGGATACTGGTGGTTGAAGTGCTATGTATTACATCAAAGAATATTAGTTTACACAGCCTGTAGCAAAATACAGCAAGGTGAGCCAGGAGAGAGAGCGGGGAAAGACAGCCAGAGGAGAGAGAGGAAAGACAGCCAGGGGAGAGAGAGTGAGGAGAGACAGTCAGGAAAGAGAGAGGAGAGACAGTCAGGAAAGAGAGAGAGTAAAGAGAGACAGCCAAGAGAAAAAACGAGGAGAGACAGTTCGGAGGATGAGCAAGGAGAGACAGCCAGGAGGATGAGCAAGGAGAGACAGCCAGGAGAGAGCAAGGAGAGACAGCCAAGAGAGACAGTCAGGAGAGACAGCCAGGAGAGACAGCCAGGGGAGAGAGAGCGAGGAGAGACAGTCAGGATAGAGAGAGAGGAGAGACAGTCAGGAAAGAGAGACAGCCAAGAGAAAAAAACGAGGAGAGACAGCTAGGAGGATGAGCAAGGAGAGACAGCCAGGAGGATGAGCACTGAAAGACTGCCAGGAGACAGCCAGGAGAGAGAGCAAGGGGAGACAGAGGAGAGACAGCCAGGAGAGAGAGAGCGAGGGAGTTTTTTTTTTCGTTGGTGGATCTCATGTAGCTCGTCGTTTGATCTTAACAGAAAAATTGTGTGCACCACTGCTCTACACGTTCCTTGTATTTGTGTGCTGAACCTTGTGTAATGCACATGCCCCGTGTGCCTTGTCCTGCACAAGTTTTATCTTCTGTGTAACCAGTACCTCTGTGCAACGCACATCCCTTGCGTGTTTTTGACCTTGTACCCAGCACTTCTACTCTCTAGTGTATCTTGTGTCTGTGCACAGTACAGTATCTCCGAGTGAACTTTTGTGCTGCGCACTTTCCTGTGTTTCATTCTCTCCAGTGTCCATGCGCTACAACCCTCTCCGGTGTATCTTGTGCTGTGTGTCCTGCACCACACTGTCTTCAGTGTCCCTGCACTACAACTCTCTCCGGTGTATCTTGTGCTGTTTTTCCTGCACCTCTGAGTTGTGTCAAAGTGAAATAAGAATGTCACCAGCACTCCAAGATCAGTGAAATAAGTCCATTAGCTAGTTAATTGCACTTATGACATGCTAAGTAATTAAATGGACTTATTTCACTGATCTTGGAGTGCTGGTGACATTCTTATTTCACTTTGAAGTTCTTTCATGGTGCTATCCGTGGTCACTTCAAGCACCCACCTGGCTATAGTAGGTTTAAGTTCCGGTAAGGAGTGCAGCAAGATAATCTTCATATTCTGAGTTGTGTCAGTCTCCTTGTGTGCCACTGTTACAGCCTTCTTTCCTACCTGTCACTGAGTCCAGTACCCCAGTTCTGTTCACATTGTAGCTGGTCAGTCATGTCTGCAGGAGAGTGTTAGATGCCCTCAATCTGGAAGCTGCCCTGCCGCACAATCATACTCACCATCAGAAGCTCTGGAGAAGACCAGGCTCTCCTTTGACTCTGAGCCCATGGCACACCCACATCTTCTGTGCAGTCACTCTGCCACTGGTCCCTTGCGTTTTATGCACTGTATCCTCACACTCCCAAAGACCTGTTTTTGTTTTTCTGGCCTATTCCCAGTTCTGGACTGCTCCGCAAACCCGGTGCTCATGGTTCCTAGTGTCCTGGTTCCCAGATCGTGACAGTGGCTATTTACTTGCAACACCAGCAGCCTTCTTTGGGATTGTTTTTCTTACCTTGGCAAAATATCCAACACAAGAAAGAGGACCAGTTGCCATGCTGATGTTGGCAGACCACAACTGGCTCTATAATTTTGCTTAATCGCTGTGCAAAAATACATTAGACTGTTTTCTGTGTAAAGTGGTGCCATTTTTTTTTTTCATTTGAGAGGATGGTAAAAAAGGTGGGAACACTTTGGGAACTCAGAATAGAACAGGAACACTGAGAACAAAAAAATAGCGATTATAGCCAAACAGGGAATCCATGGGGTACATGAAAAGCCAGAAGCACAGGGATCCAAGATGGTTCAGCTAAAAGGTTATTGTTAGTTTTTGACAGTGTATCTGTTGGGTTTTTAATTGAGCCAATGTAATACAATACTAGTGTCTGTACAGCCAACACCAATGTCATCCAGCACCGGTATCTGTACATCCAGTACCTGCGCCATCCAGTGCCTGTACATCCAGTACCAGTGCCATCAAGGATCAGTACCAGTGTCATCCAGTACTAGTACCTGTCCATCCAGTACCAGTGCCATCCAGGACCATTGTCTGTACAACAAGTACCAGTGTCTGCCAGTACCAGTGCCTGAATACATTTTGGCATAAATTAATAATTTATGAAGGAAGATTATATATTTTGTCTTTTTTTATTACAGAAAGTAAGCAAAACAGGGTTTTTTTTACATTTCTGGTAATTTTTCCTTTTTATGTTGTAAAAAATAAAAAAGTGCTTAATAAATACCACAAAAAAAACTCCATCTCCTCTCACAAAATTACATAAAATGTATTTGGGTTTAGTGTTCCATGACCAAATAATTGTCAGTCTCAATTGGCTTAGACAGAAACGGGGTGTAACATTCTGGTGCTGAGGTGCTTAGAAAACATTCAAACAGTCTGAGCATGAATAGAAGTCAGAGACCAGCATTGTAAAGCAGTGCACCTGGTATTGGCAGTGAACATGCTAATAGGAGTAAGGTGGTGACTTACTGTAATACTGTAAGTTGCTGTTCTTTTATTATCAAATCAGCAGTGCTGCCTGATGATGTTATAAAGGTGGGGGATTTTGCTTTGGGCCCACTTGACTCTGGCAGCTAAAACCATGCAGTAGTCACACAAATATGAATAAGAATGGCCACCCTTGCCTTCTTGCTGTCCCTGTCATTTGTTTAACAAAATCTTGTAAACTTGCATGACACATGTTTATGACATGAACAAAACTGAACAACCTTGGTATTGTGTCTGTAACTATATTGTTTGTTTGTTTTTTTTGGTAGCTGGAAAGCTGGGAAATGAGAACTGCACAGATGACCCTATTGCCATCATGAATGAAATATTACCCCCATGCCCCAACACATTTGCCAACTGGCTTGTGATTCTGCTTCTGGTTGTTTTCTTGCTTGTTGCCAACATCCTCTTATTGAATCTGCTGATTGCCATGTTCAGGTAACTAATGTATATGGGGGTCATGTTATTTCAATAATGCTCTTAAAAGGGAATTCTGCACAAAGCTCCGATGGTTAAAGTTTGGTGGCTGGTGGCAGTCAGTATGCTTCAGTTTCCTCTGCTGTTCCTATGGTGTTCTCCCGACAGTAACTGTCCTATGCCAGAAGCTCTGTTATCTTTTATGCACAGTGCATTGTAATGATATATGAATCACACCGCTACCCTGTGATTTCTGCATGTAATTGATATAATAGTTTGTGTTTTGCATGAGGTAGAATGTAGGATGAAGACTTATCAGCCTACAAAGGGTACAATTGAACATGGAACTGCAGAAAAGGGCAAAATACATAAAAGAGCTTTTACACGGTGGGGGGGTTGCAGATGGAATATCAGAAAAGGCCAAAATACTTTTTAAAAATACTAAGAGCTTTCACACAGAGGGGACAATTTACTAAAGGAGTATATTCTTCAGTATAGTCAAGCGAGTATATCCTTCACTTCAGTATAGCCAAGAAAATCTATGTTAAACCAAAATTTACTTTCCAAAACGGGTGGATTGAACTGAAAATGTAAAAATTTCCCAATGTGAATGCCTCACTATATTTTCAATTTTTACAACAAAGTGGATCTTTGAAAGCGTTTAATGCACTTTCTACTTATGGCTATTAGGTGTCACTATTAGCATACCTGCTGTAGTCATATTGTAGAATTCATGGTAAGATTTGGTTTGTTATAGGGAACATTTAAAAACGCTAATTATGCCTAAGCAAGACCCTTTTGTCTGGAATTCCCCCTGAAAAATAGCAGCGCACTTCCTGTTATGTGAGGGTGCCTATGTACTTCTTTGCCTACCACTTCTGACTGCTAGTCACACCAGATTTGCAGTGACATTTAGTGATGTCCCTACTGTGTCACACACATACTCCTTGGTGGAGGATCTAACATAAGGAAACAAAGCCCTGCCTCTAACAATATATACGTCAATGGGGAAATAGAAGAAGGCCACAGGCAATACTGGTGACTAGTCCATTGTCCTCTGCTTGCCTTTTTGGGCTCAACCTCTAAAGTTTAGTTCCTCTGCTTAACCACTTCCCTACCGGCTGCTGAATAGAAATGACCAGTAGGTGGAGTGGTATTACAAGAGAACGTACCTTTACCTCCTCCCATATTTACTATTGGGTGCGTGCCCAGTGATAATGATAGTAATAAATAATCCTGACTTTGGCAGCACAGTGCTATTTATCTCCTGCACCCTTCATCTTACAGCTACACCTTCTCCAAAGTGCAAGGCAACAGTGACATCTACTGGAAGTTCCAGCGTTACAATCTAATTGTGGAGTACCATAACCGCCCAGCACTGGCGCCACCCTTTATCATCATCAGCCACATTCATACCTTCATCAAGCGCAAGATCCGCAAGGTGGAGTCGCAGAAGATCAGACATTTCAGTAAGTTATGGCTCATAGATAGAGGTTGGACATTTAATCACATTTTTTAGAGCTGTTGGTCTTTGTGCAGGCAATGAACAGAGAGAAAAAAATAATTAGTAATATTTCAAAGAGGAATTTTTCTCAGTGCATGCACACCCCCTTAACACAAAGAAAGAGTAGAGCGGATTTAAAAAATAATCTCAGCTAACTGCAGGCCAGGTGTTGCTCCATACTATCGGGGTCGGCGATACATGGCCACTGTGATTAGGGGGCAAGAGGAAGCAGTAGAATTTAAATATGTGGATTTTTTTAACTATTAAGCAAAACAAGAAGGCCCCTTTCACAAGGCCGTTCCAATCCAATCAGCTTGTCAGTTTTTTAGGCAGATGTGACCGGAAGCTCAATGTTAGTCTATGTGGCAGCAGATTGGATAACCTCTGAATCCATCTAGGCCCAAAAAAAACAAAACAGAAAAGGTTTGTTTACTCCATTTTTTTTTGGACCTAAACGTGACGCATTGGAGGGAAGCAAGGGCCTAACAGTCAGAATGGTCCAGCAACATCACAAGAGTTATTATTTTAAAAGAATCATTCTAAAAGCGATGCTAATTCCACAGTGTTTTGGTACCTGAAGAACTAGTGAACAGATTGAGAATGACTGCGGTTTTTTGGGTTACAGTCAGACCCTATCATACTTAATTGCCAGTAAGGAACATTTTGTTTTCTAGTGTTGGCGTTGAAAGAGCCACTAGACAACAGGATGCTGACATGGGAGGCTGTTCAAAAGGAGAACTACCTGGTGAATATCGCCAAACAGAAGAGGGACAGTGACACAGAGCGCCTCAGACGAACATCACAAAAGTAAGAAATTTAAACTCAAATGCAGCTACTGCACTTTTTGTGGCACCAAAAATAAGTTTATGTTCTGTACTCATTGGAAAGGAATCATCATCTGAAAAGGCAGATGGAGTGTGATTTCTGCCAGTCGGTCTGGTTAAAGTCTGCAACCGTTTCTGTGATTGGTCATTTGTTAGAAGAAACTTTTTCTTAAAGTATATGTAAACAGTACATAAAATTATCTGTTGATTTTGCCAGAAATCTTGTGAACTGATAATTTCCTGTGCTACATTGTAAACGGCTGTCTTTGTGGACTACAAAACAAGTCCTCTTCTAAGGTGACAACGATGCTCCTCAATAGATGCTTTACAGTGAATGAGCATTGTCACCCTAGGACAGGAAGTGTGTTAGAGGCAGGATCACCAGATAAAAATAAGGGAAACAAAGTCTAAAAGAATAATGCAGCTATTGTGATCTAAGTAAGCTGCAATCCATTACATTTTTGTTCTTGGGTTTAGATATGATAATTTTTGTAATTGTAATTTTGGAAAAATTAACAAAGTTATGGGTACACAATAGCATTCAATTGTACTTAGAAAAGGGTAAAACAAATTTTTATGTGTGCGAACATTCGAAATGGATCATTATATGAACATTAAAAGAGAGCTATGGTCCAAACTTTTTCAGCCATAGTTCTTTTTAGGGTCACAGGAGGGAATTTACAGTGTCCTCTTGTGACACCAAACTCAGTATATAGCGGCAATTGCCCGCTATATGCTGACAGCGCAAGGCCACGCTGTGGCCGGGATGGATGCCGACATTATTGTTGGGATCCAACCTGCCACCTGATTGACAGCTGGCTCTGCCTCTTTAGAGGCAAAGCCAAATGTGCCCACCCCCTCTCCATCTGTCCCTCTATTCAGCACTGAAGGAACAGAGAAAGGAGGGGGGAATCCCTGTGATAGATCAGTTCTCGATCTATAGAGCCAACGTGTGACCGATTCAGTGTCGCAGGTCGGCTCTAAATTTGGGAATGAGTGTATTTCATTCTCCCCATAATTCTTCTTTAAAGCAACAGGCAGAGATGTATTGGAGTATGCCGTGGAGTCTGAACAAATTACTCCAAAGGGTCAGTAAGACTTTCATGGAGTCCTCCAGAGTCCATTGTCTGAAATAGTGTGCATAAGTCAGTTTCCCAAATAAAAACAGTGTGAAAATGAAGAAAAAAAATGGGTAAGTAGAAAGAAACGGAAAGGAGATAGTAGTAGGAAAACGAAATAAGTGCTCCAAGTAGCAGTAAATATCTTTCTATATATGAGTGGAGAGATGCTTTAAGATATATGGAAGCTGCCATTACTAAGATCCCCTTGTAAAAATACTAGTTCCTTTCTATAATACTGATCCATTGGCTTCACTAGCCTGGAACAAATATGCAGATTAGAGCTCTGTGACTTTTGTGATCTGCATGCTTGTTTCAGGTTAGTGACCCAAGAAGTGGGTCATTTAAAGCCAGTGGTAGTAGGCAAATTACATTTTCAGGAGGTCGGGAAGAGCAGAATTCCTATCCAGCACAGGTTTCCCTTAAGTGATGGCAACAGTGTCACCATTTTGTAATTAGGGAATTTAGAAGCCCTGTCTGAATGACTGTGAAAAATTTACTAATCAGTAATTGCAAACCTACCCCAGTCAGTCACCTGTCCTTACTCCTACAGGGTTGATACTGCATTGAAACAACTCAATGAGATTAAGGAACATGATCGAAGATTGAAAACACTGGAGACAGAGGTAAATGTGCTAATTTATATGATGTACTTTGAGGAATTATTAGAATTTCCATGTTTTTGAAAATCTGACACATTCACATTAAAATCTGTACCTTGGGCACAGCTTGGACTAAACTGACATGATAAATCTCTTAAAGGGTTGTGGTGTTTCTAATGATGGCTGCACATGGAAGGGCTAGGGAAAAAAATGGTATGCTCATATATTTTCGAGAAAGCACAAGATAATTTCACAGGAGATGATTTCAAACCTGATTTTGCATAGAACCTCAAGAAGTCATTTGAAGTGTTAATAAAAATGAAATAGTTTTTACAGAATTATACTTTTAATAAGCTATAAATAAATGCAAACATGTGGTACTCCAGTTAAAAATGTTGAACTGGTCCAGGAACAGAGAATTAGGGTCAGAGGGCTATATGCAGACCTAAAATCAATAGATTGGCATGCCTTCTGCAGCCCCTAGCATTGTCCTAAAGTTGAACTATAGCCTAAATTCACATCTATAACTCTCTGAACAGGACAGAAAAATGTAATAAATACACTTATTAACACTTTATTAGGCAAAAATCACAAATATCCCTTTATCAATATATAAAATACATTTAAAAAATAGCTTTTGTTTAAAACAGTAAAAAAAACTACCACACATGAAGACAACATACAGGTGCATAAATTACAGTACTGAATTGCACATTTTGGGAAGGGAGACTAGAGTCCTATGCCAAAATATATGAATGCTTATAAGCCAAAGGGTCTAAATCAACTGAAATTGGGCATTTAAAAAAAAAAAAAATGTGTATGGACAAAATGTACAGCTTTTTTGCCACAGAAGATAAAACTTTATTGGTCACCAACTATCACACTGTTTTTCGTGCCTCTAAACCAGCCATTCTGATGCGTTTCACCCTCACGGGCCCAGTGTTAAGAGATCTAGGCGTTGATAGGAGGGATCCTTTTGTACACAAGTGATAATGTTTGCAGGTGAAAATTATCACAGTAACTAATCCACATACAACAGAGAACAGATACAAGATCAAATCCATTGTAACATTAGTAACGTTCTTAGTTGAATGACTAAGCAATGTAAATATATTGAAGCAGAAAAAAACTACTTTAATTCCCCCAGACAAAGTTGCACCATATTACTTTGCTGTTGCTTTAAAAGGCATACATAGACGTTAATATTCTATAAAAGATCTATCCCATCTTCCAATAAAGATCCATTTTATAAATGGATCCCCCACTCTAATAGTAAAGAAAGTAAAGAAACTCCTATATAT